GCCTTGCTGGTCTTCCGACATCTGCAGCCCTCATCAGTGGTCCCTTGAGGCCGTCAGAAATGTCTTAAATTATAAAAGGGATGGTTTTGGCTACAATCAAAAGTCCAGGGTTGGATCTAAGGGACTCAAAAGATCTGTCCAGAATCTTATTTCCTTCAGTATCTCAGCTCTGCTTTCCTCTAGGTGGATCTCAATTCAGGTGGGCTTGCCCCATGTGAGGGCAAAGGTATCCCTGGTGGTTTCTCCTACCAGCCCAGCTGCCCTGGGAAATAGAGCCCCTGCTTTTCCTGCAGATCCAGCAAAAGTCCTAGGGCTGATTCTCATAGGCTGGCTTAGATCACATGCCCATCCCTCAGCCAATTGCTGTAATGCACACAGCCAGGCCTATGTCATCTGTTCTGCCCAGGCTCACAGGAGACATGTGTTAGAGGGTATGGATTGGGGTGGGGAGCCCCAAAGAGCAAAGCTCTCAGAAGAGGGGCTGGCACAATGGAAGGACTGGGACCAGCAAGCTTCCTAAAATTGCACAGCTGGACAGAAACCCTGAAATCAGGGCCAGCCTGGTGCCCAGGAAATGCTGGAGGGAGCACAGTGCCCTCGCAGGGCTGCAGCTGAGCAGGCTAGGGCCGAGGGCAAGGCCTGGAGTGCTGGCCCTTGCGTGAGGGAGAGAAGGCGGCCAGCAGCTCTCGCTGGAGCTGACCGATGCCCCTTCCTGGCAGGGTGGGAGGCACTCAGCGTCCTGTTTCCAGGGCCGCCAATCATTCCTGGAGTTCTATGTGCCTCAGATCAATGCTGTGGGGTCGGCCGGGCGCCTAGGGGGGCAGAGGCGTGTGTATGTGCACGTGTGAATGTGTGCACAGGTCTGACCTGTCCCTGAGCTCCCCTGATGAAGGCCACCGGAGTAAGTCTGCCACTCACACCTCTGTGGGCGGGCAGCCCGTGCAATCTCTTCCACCTGTGTGGGCATCGTTCTCCTCCCACCAACTGCACAACATCTACCCGCCCAGCACCCGTGGTGCAGACGGGCCTTCAACTCAGACTGGGCACACCTAGTGCACAGCTGGCATCGGCCATTATTGCCGTGGCTTTTGTCCGTATTCTCATGAAAGAGTGTCTGGGGACAGATGGTGCTGAGGAGAGACTGGGCTGAAAGCAGGTCTCCTGGGCTTGGTCCCTGTTCTGTGGTCACTGCCTGTGTGACAGGGCCTCTTTGCACCTCGGCCCACCGGGGGAGGCAACCCCACCAGACATGCACCTCCTGCACCCAGCGGTCAGGTCTCTCCGACTGTCTTACAGGGGTGGGCGTGAGAGGGAGGCTGACCCTGGACCCTGGCCACCTGCCTGGAGGAGGAGGCAAGACTTGTGCTGGCAGATGGCCTGTGGCTGCACGGGCTGGTGCGGCTCCGCGACGGCGCGGAGTCAGGCTGGCCATGCGAGCCGAGCGGAACCCGTGGGCGAGACCTCTGCCCGCGCCTGTTCCTTCGCACTCTGTGGCTTCCGCTGCGCTGCCCGCGTGCCGCCCGGCTTCCCCCGGAGCGGACGCCTCAGACGCCTCCGGGAGTGGCCAGCTGGGGAAGAGGCAAAACGGGGCGGGAGGTGAGCGCCGGGGGCCGGGCAGGCCTCTTCCGGAGGGGCCATCTCGGTGGCCCCTGAAGGACGAGCAGCCTGGGCAGAAGTGCTCCCCACTGAGGGCCCGGATGGCCGGTCGGTGTGTCTGGGAGGGTGCCGGCGGGGTGGGGCTGGGGCTCAGGGTTGGCTGTCACCCTAGGAGGGCCCATCTCACATCGTGGGGTGAGAGGCTCTGAGGGCGGAAGTTGGGCCACGGTCTAGGGTGCAGGGGAATCCCAGCGGGCTCTCAGGAGGAGGCATTCCGGAGCGGATGAGATGCTGGGCTGAGCGTGGGGAGAATTAGGACAGCTGTCTGGGCAAAGGCCCGGAGATGGCGTCTGGGTTTTGTATCTTAACCGATGCCTGACTCATGCCTGCAGCACTCGCAGCAGCGCCGTGGTGTTAAGGCGTGATCGTCACAAGAGCAGCCGCGGCTGTGTAGAGGCCGCAGCCCTGAGCCTCCGTCCACAGGCCAGCAAGTCCTGGCCTTCGCGGCACGGGCACGCTCCTTGGACAGCTTTGTGATCTCGGAAGCAGCCTCTCCACTCTGGACCTTGCTCTTCCCAAAACGAAGGGAGATTCCAAGATTCTGAATGAGCCGAGGGCTCCCCTGGCCTCGCTGGCCTGTGGGTCTGAGGACTCTCAGATCTGCAAATAGTTCTCAAACAGTGACTATGTGCCCAGCCCAAAGCTGGGAGGGACTAGGTCCCAGACAAACCTCGGTCTCATCCTAGTCTTGGGGAAGCTCTCATCCTGGAGGGGAAGAAAGGGAGAGTTTCAGATGAAGGGAGAGTAGGTGCAGGGCACACAACCAAGTGTCAGGAAGGTGCAGGAGGAGCAGGACACCTAACTCCATTCCTCTCGTGGCTCCTCCCACGGCCGTACGAGGGGTGGCTGTCTCATGGCTGTGGGTGTGATCGCCCCCATTGTATGGAGAAGGAAGTGGAGCCTCAGTGAGGGATGTGTCCCAGGTCCCCCTGCCTGGGAGCAGTGGTGCTGGGCTCGGGGCTATTTGGTCTCACGGGGCCACTTCCCTCAGCACTGGAGGGAGGCGCGCCTGTCCCCCTCTGGCTGTGGGTGGCACCCCAGGGGGCATGAGCCCCTCTGGCCACACCGGGAGCTCTGGGGCAGATGGGAGCTCTGGGCAGATGACAGACCCACTCATGTCACCTCTCTACTGTCCCTCGCCGGCAGCTGGAGCAGCAGCGTGCTCTGGAGAGGGCCAGGCAGGGAGGGCCCCAGCAGCTGGCTCTGCGACTGCGATTAGGAATTGAAGCACCGCCCTGCAACCATGTTGGGAGGGAGGGACGTGAAGCCTGAAGGAAGTGGCCCGGGGAGTCAGGCTTGCTTCTCTGTTGGCACCTCTGCTGTGTGACCTTGGGTAAGACACTTGCTCTCTCTGTGGAATGGGTCTGAGGAGGGCTCCAGGGGCGGCTGAGTCCAGGGAGCAGACTCAGTCTGCCTCACACTGGCTGTCTTGGTGAACAGAGGAGTGGGATGTTGTAGGCTCGAGGATGCCCTGGGCTCACCCCCTTGTTTCAGAAGCTGTCAGGATCCTGGAGGAGCCTTGAGATATTTCCTGTGCATTTCCTTGTCCTCCAGCTGAAGAGATGCCACTGGCTCCTTTGGGCACCCAGATGGAGCCTCCTGGGACAGCTGAGCAGGCTCCGAAGATGGAGAAGAGGGACCAGGTGCTGCGTCCTTCGCCACTGGCTTTGGATTCCCTGTCTTCTGCGAAATGGGGCAGGGGCCAGTGGGGAGCTGAGTCATTTCCCTCCTTGGTCACTTGGACGGAGGGGGAAAAGTTTCCTGGCTTTTTGTCCCCTAGGAAGCTACTCTCCCAGGAGGGGGAGGAGGAGGAGGAAACGGGGACACTGTGTGCCAGGAGGGGCAGGCGGGGGCTGGAGTCCCCTGGGAGGCCCCTTGGCTCTCCACTGAGGCTCTAAGCAGTTGTCAGAGAGGGAGGCAGGGCTGTCATCTTGGGGACATACCTGGTTTTGAGTCCTGGCTGCGTCATTCAGTAGTTCTGTGACTAGGCAAGGGACCAGCCCTCTCTGTGTCTCAGTCCCTTTATCTGTTAAAATAGGGCCAACAAGCTTATATGCCCCAGAGGGTCCTAGTGTTAACCACATAATTCTAGTCAGGTCATTGGCACAGAGGCCAACACATACTGAGTGCTCAATAAACGTTAGCTGTTTTACTCAACCAGGAGCTGTGCTAAGCACTTTAGGTATACTCATCTCATTTAATCCTCACGACAGCCCAATGAGTTTAGTGAGCTCCATTGTTGATGGGGAAACTGAGGCACCAAGTGGTGAAGTGACCACAGCTGATCAGTAGAAGAGGTAGGACAGCCTGAGGTTGGTGAGAGCTGGGCTAGGCTGTGCCTACCGGCTGCCTAGGGCCCAGAGCCTGTGGCTGGTGGGGCCTGCAGATGGCTCTGCTCTGAGCTGCCAGCAGTCTGGGCGCTGGCCAGAGAGCCATCCTCCTTGGCTAGAACCCTGCAGCCAGCCTCCCGGCTGTGCAGACACATAACTATATTTCACATTAAAGGGGAAGCTGGAGGCCAAGGGGGCCGGGAGCCCTTTGAGGCTTATGCTCTGGGCACAGACCTGCATCTTCGACCCAGTTCTGTGGCCCCAGAGCTGAGCTGGGGATCAGGCCAGTGGTAAAATGGGGTTTCCCTGGGTTAGGGCCCAGCCTGGCAGGTCTGTCTGCCAGGATGAAAGGCCTGGGCCTTGCAGGAGGCAGGAGACATGAGGCCCAGACAACAGGCCCCAGGAGGCTGGGAGGGCAGGGTGGGCGGCAACAGACTGGGGAGAAAGCCTGAGCCTCCAGAGACATTGGTGGGCAAAGGAGAGTGTCACATGGGGGTCAAGTTGGCAGAGAGGGAGGAGCACAGAGGAGAAAGCAGGAGCCCAGCAGCACAAGGAGAGGGACGCTGGGGGGATGGTGTGTGTATGTCCGTGTGCATGCCTGGGAATGCTGGCTTATATTGTATACAGATGTGCACATGTGCAGATACCACCCTGCATGTGCACAAGAGTGTGTATGCACCTGCGACCATCATGTGTATCGGCGTATGTATTTTGCGTGTGTGGATGGGGAGCCTGAGCTTGTGTATCCAACTGTGTGCACTCGTGTTCAAGATTTCCTTGCCTGTGTGTGTGCTAGCCGGCACCTGTGTGTGCACGCGTGTCCCCGGAGGACGTGCCTCTGTGTGTGTGTGTGTGTGTGTGTGTGTGTGTTCGCGAGCGCGCGCGCGCGCGTCCGGGTGCGCAAGTGCCTGGCGGTGTGTGTGAGGGGCGGCCCGGGCTAGGAGGGGCGCGGGGCCAGGCCAGGGCCCTGGTAGGCTGGGGCAGCGGCGGCGCGGCGCGGCGCGGGGCGGGCGTGCTCTCGGCGGAGAGTTAGAGGAGTTGCCGAGCTGGGCTCGGGCGGCAGCGGGGCGCGGAGCTGGGTGCGCGCCGAGCTGCTGCCTCCCGCCGCCTCCTCGCCCTCCATTCCTGGTTCCCCGTCTTCTCCCGGCCACGCGGCCGCCGCTGCCGCCTCCCTGGGAAGGCAGCCGGGGGAGGGGACTGGCGCGGCCGGAGCCGCGGGGAGGTGCGGGGCGCCTGGGCGGAGGGAAGCGCGCCGGGCCCTGCCCGAGATCAGATAACAGCCGGAGGGGGAGGGGGCCGGCCACGCTCACTGTCGGACTGAGGGACGGACGCCAGCAGACCCGGCCCGACCGAGCGGCCGGGGGCGCCGTCCAGGCGCGCGCCCCCGACCGGTGGCTGGACCCGGGCGATCCGCGCCAGGGACCGACGCGCCCCTCGGCATGGAGCGCCCACTGGGGCTGCCCTGAGGCGGTGGCAGCAGAGGCGGCGATGCAGCCAGCGCGGCGGCGGCCGCGGCCAGGAGCGGCCGCCCGGAGCTCGGAGGACACGGAGCGCGCCGCGCCCCGGCTGCTGACCGAGGTAAGTGCGCGGCCGCGGGCGCACGGACTCCCGGGACCCGGCCCCCCTTCCCTACCGAACGCCCCCCCACCCCCGCCCCCCGGCCTGGGGCGAGCACTAGCTGGTGCAGCAACAGGGAAGGTGGGGCGGGAGGGTGTTTTCTTCGTCTCCTGGTTTTCATGTTTCCTCCCTTGGTGAGCCATCGGAGGAAATGCTGACTGCGAGCTTTTCTTCCCCTGCTATGTCTCCTGCTGCCGCCACCGGGGAACTTTGCTCCTGGCTAACCTTCGTCCCGGGGGCGCTCCGGGAAACTTTGAGGAGCCCTCGGCACCCCCTGGCCAGTTTGCGCGAGTGGGCTCGAGAGGGAGCGTGCGGAGGCACTTTCGCGCGCGGCATGGGTCCTACATGTGACCTTCCCGGAGACCCAGCCATCAAAGTTGGGGTACGGAGAGGGGCGCGCGGGCTATAGGGCAGCCCGGAAAATGCCCCCACCCTGAGACCTGCGGGTCCTTTAATTCGTTTCTTTTTCCTACCTCCCATGCTCCAATGGAGTAAAAATATTCTGGAAATGGTTCTCTGCCAGCGAGCCAGCCTACAAGTCCAGCGCTCCTTTTTGCTTTTAGAAGTCGGCCTTGATCTCCAAAGGGATGGCCCCTCTGGCAAGAAGCCCCTGGGGTTTCAGGGCCTCAGTCCCCTCTACACCGCACATCTGCTATGAATGTCCTGGGGGAGCAGTGTGGGGAATCTGGGGCTCGTGGGAAATGGCAGCTGGTGGGGTGCTCCTGGGTTGGGGGTGTTCAGATGAGAGTTGAGGCCCAAGGCCATGTCTGTGCCTGGGTTCTGATCCAGCGTGCACATGTCATGTGACTGTTAAAACCTGCATTGGGAATGGGGGTCACAGGAAAGTGTTTCTTTGGGGATAGCCTTTGGTTCTGGGAGATTTTCCTGCCCCCCACAGGCTGGACTTGCTGGGACCTGGGGCCCCAAGGGGCGTACCCATGTTGGAGTGCAGTGCTGCCTGTGGCCATTCTAGTTTCTGATTCTCTCCCTTGTGCCCAGGCTGGAGTCCTACAACAGAGCGCCGGGCACCTCCTGCTCCCCATGGCCGCATCCCCAGCCCAGGTTCTCAGGCTTTGTCTCCCGAGAGAGTGCTGAGGCGCCTACACGCCTCCGAAATCGGCAGCCGCCTCCTCGAAAGTGCAACCCGGGAGGCGTTTGCCTACCCTTCAACCTCCTACCGCGCCAGAGGACCGGACCGCAGCCCCTGTCTGCCCTTTCGGGCCCCAGCCCCAACTTTACTCGGTGGCAGTGGCAGCTCCTCACCCCGCAGCTCCTTCTTGGAGCCCGTGTTGAGGAGGGTCAGGGAGGGGAGCTGCTGTGTTCTGAGACAGCCTTAGTGCTGCGGGTTCCCTGCGACAGCCTTCAGCAAAGTCTGCCCCTGGGTTTTCTGGTGGCCCCTCCACCCAGCCACAGGGCCTGAGGCTGGCCACTCTAGGAGGGGGACTGCTGGAGGGCTGCTGTTCAGTGGGGCCAGCCCCCTTGAGAGAGCAGAAAGTGAGGGGAGAAGCACACTTGGGGACAAGGACGGTGGCTCCAATGTGCTGGGCAACAGGGAAGGTGCCTCGTCTCCACTGGAGCGCTGCTGTGTGCACACAGCAGGCGCTCTGTAAATGCTAGGTGTTGATGCAGACCTGGCAGGTAGAGCTTCAAGTCCCTGACTGGCCCTGGTTCTCCTCCCTGGGCGAGGGCATGGCTGAGCGCCCTGCTCAGCGCTGAGGGCACGAGCCTTCTCTTGGGGTGGGGGCATGGCCTGGGCTGGGGTCCCTCTCAGGACCCTCCTCTGGCAGTTCCCACAGCAGACCCCGTGGGGACGCTCCAGGTATGTGCCTCAGCTGGGCTGAGAGGAAGAGGTGCTCGGAGAGGGCTTTACCCAAAGCCACGAGGCGAGTTGGGTTTGAACAGAAGCCTTCATGTAGCTCTCCCCAGGCCAAGGGACTGCCCTGCCAGTGTTCCTGCCTCGGGCCTCGGTGTCCTCCCCAGGTCTGCCGGAAGCAGGACAAGGTAACGCTGGCTTGCCCTGCGGCCGTGAAATAGTAATGACAGCAGTGACGATAGTAGTAACAGTAACAGCAGCAGCAGCAGCGCCCTGCAGCGATGCAGCGCCGTGGGCAGTCTTCTCCAGCCTGGCCACAGTTGGCAACACCAAGCGTGGCACCCGGAGGAAGCCTTGGCATGCGGCTGTGATGGAAGTGACTGCATCGTCACTCCTGGCAACCTCTGTGGCCCTTGCCAGGCCCCCAGGCGAGGGACTGCTGGTGTACCCTTGCTGCCCACTGATGGCCACCCTCAGCCCCCCTGCTCCTGGCCATGGCTGTGAGCGGGCCCTTCCTCTGACAGGTGCAGCTGGTGCTTGTGGCTAGGCCCTGGCCAGGGCTCCACTGTGGGCGATGTGGGCGCACCTGCGCCTCCCCTGGGCCTGCCACTGGAGCCCTGCCACAGGCTGGCATGGAGGAGCAGCCGGGAGGGCAGCTTCTGGGCAGCAGGAAAGGTGGAGGCTGGGCTGACCACGGGGAAGGTGTGGTGGACGTAGGCTCAGCCCCATGGGGTGGCTGCTCGTGGAATTGGCAGTGTGATGGGACCGGCAGCAGGGACAGGCTGAAGATGAAAGAGAGCTGGCCTGAAACTGGGCCGTGGCCGGGCTGGCTGGTGTCTTTAGAGGTGCTTTGGGGTGAGGTCTGGGGGCTGGTGGGGGCAGGTGGGTTTTCCAGAGGAGCTGGGTCCAGGGCAGGACTGGAGGACTGCTGGGCACTGGCCCAGGCTTGGCACTCTGCCAGCTCACTTAATTTCCTAATGGCCTGCCAGTGCAGAGGGTGGCGAGAGCTCCATTGTGTAGATGGAGACTGGAGGTGCTGGAGGGACTGGCCTGTGCATGCTCTCCTGGGGGCAGAACTACACCTTTCCTGGTTCCATGACACCTTGCCTGTGGGCACTTGTGCAAGCCTGGCTTCGACCCCCTGCCCCCAAGCAGGTCCCACAAGGCCCTGGGGCTGCCTGCCATCCAAACTCCTAGGGAGCTGCCTCCCCAGGACCTAGAGAAGGCCTGGCATGCAGTAGATGCTTAGCAAATGCTCAAAGAGCCTGTGCTTCCTCTGGCCATGGAGACCTCAGTGGCAGCTCCTGCCTCCATGTACTGGTGAGAGCTGTGGGGCCGTGAGCTCTGGGGCTGGAGACCCTGGGCCCCCCTGCTTGGCTTCAGCCCCTGGTATGGTGTGCAGCTCACGAAAGTGCTTAAAAAATGGGTGTTGCGTGACTGGAGACCTGGGCCTGCCCTTGAAGACATCAGTGTCTGGGAGGAGACTGGAGAGCCGATGGGCGGGGCGAGAGGCAGGGTGTGCCACTGGGACTGATTCACTTCTGGCCTCAGTTTATCAGTGTATTGAAGTGGGACCAAAGCCCCAAGCTTCCAGGGAGGCTCCCGAGAGTGCCTAGGACAGGGCAGTGGCAACCGGGGCCTTGGCATGTGCCTCTGGGAGGCGGAGGTGGAGGTGCAGGGCCTGATCTCGACAGCAGTGGGTGTGTGGAAAGCTGACTGAGAGCAGTGGTGTGAGCACTCGCGGCGTGGAGCCTTGCGGAGCTGTCATGTCCAGCCAAGCTTTCCTTGGACATGTGGAGAACGGGCCCAGGAGGGGTGGCAACTTGCTGCAGTGGTGGCCCAGATGTGGGTGTCCTTTCCATGTCCCCCTCCACCCTTCGACTCCCACTGGTGCTCCAGAGCCCACGACTTCCTGCCAGACTGCTGAAGTGGCAGCGTGAGGCTGTGGGGGGCTTGGGGACCCCTGCCCAGTCCCGAATTAGCCTTCAGCCCTGCAGTGCCGGGTGTGGTTCCCTGCGCTCAGCCAGATAGGCATTGCTCAGCTGCCCTGGGGAGAGTCCCACCCCGACTGCGTGGTGCTGCCCTTCAAGGTGGTGGGCACAGCTTCCTGGATCTTGCCTGACTCCCACCTGCCTGACCTGAGCCCTCCCATCTCCCGGGGCAACTGAAGCCACCTCCTCCTCCCCTCACCTGTGGGCTGGACCTCTTTGAAGGGCTCAGGCTTGGAGAAGGGCCAGGGAATACAAAATAAAGCTTATGCAGTGGTGGTTTCCACCAGGGTCCCCCCAGCCACTGTCGTGTGAGCACCTGCTCCATACTTGGCGTGCTCCGAGGGCCATCCCTCGGTTCCAGCCACACTCCTTACCAGGGCCACAGGGCCCTGCAGGGTCTGACCTCAGCAGCAGCACTTGCCCCATCCCCCGGCCACCACCTGCCCTCCTGCTGTGTCTCTAGCAGACCAGGCTCCTCCTACCTCAGGGCTCTTGCACGTGCCATTCCCTTTGCCTGGACTGCTCTTCCCCGAGCTCCGTGCAGCCCTGCCCTAGCGCCTTCAGGACTTGCCCAGATGCCAGCTTCTCCCTGAGCCTCCCTGACTTCCAGTGTGACATTGTTGAATCCTTTCCCCACATTCTGTCTCTTGCTTTACTTTTGTCTGTAGAACTTAATGCCATCTACCAAATAGATTTTATTTGTTTATCTTGTTTACTGTCTCTCTCCCCCTTGGAGTATAAACTCTTCTTTCTGGACCTGATCTGCCGCAGCTAGGCCAGGGGGCAGCAGGTGTTTGGTGAGCACGTGGGGATGGATGGGCCTGGCAGGTGGTGAGTGCGCAGTAGCAGTGGTTGCCAGAATCATCTTCCCATTCTGCAGATGAGAAGACTGAGCCCCAGAGAGGTGATGTCCCTGTCCCAGAACCATGATGCTTGTCAGGGGCAGAGCTGGCTTCAGCCCTTTTCTCAGCCTTTGGCCTAATGTCTATCTGGCTGAAGGGGCTGGGGTTTATTTCTGGCCCCTACTTGGGGTGGACTCTTTATATCTGTGCCCTCACCTGCTTCAAGCTCCAAGCCTTGCTGTGCCCCTGGCCTGGGCCTGCTTCTGGCTCAGAAAACCCCCACCCTCTCCGGGGGGAAGCAGTCCCCCTTGTAGA